TCCTTTGGGGAAGTACTGTCACATTCTCACACTGAATTCGCCCACAGAGTACATCAGTGATGTTGCACCTTTTGTATTTATAGGTATCATTACCACAGTTACCAAAACGGTCACCCCGTTTGTTCATTTCCATGTAGCAAATTCCACGTGCACTTCGACTTCCATTGCCAAAAATCTTCCGACACTGTTCATCATGTTGATGACACTCCATCTTATAGCAATAACCACCGCCACTGCAAGGGCTTCCGTCTTCTTTATACACATCTGTTGGACACTCAGCTGAAGTTCCATTGCACCACTCTGGAAGGTCACACTCATTTTTCTCTTTTCTACACACTGAGCCTGTTTGAAGGAACTGGCAATGTTGGCAACAAATCCCAGAAGCACATTGAGCATCAGGTTTGAGAACACAGTCCTTGCGACAGCATGGATCTTTTGAACAGGATTCAGAGCTCCCACAATCACACTGCTCTCCTTCCTCAACTAAGTTATTCCCACATTCGGTCAGGTTTGTTACTAGTGCTTCTGGAACATCGTATAGACAACTTCTTTTGGTAAAAATTGAATACATTTGTTCATAACTACAGTTGCTGAATTTGGGGGAATTTGATTTATAGGGGGCCATTATGCAGTTTTCTAAACCACAAGTACATCCATTTACATCATGCATCATACCGAAGTTATGACCCATCTCATGTGCTACAATGAATGCCATGTCTGATATTGAATCAGAAACGAAACTGTTAACTGCACAATTATAAGATGTACAAACTGCAGCTACATGAGCTAATCCTAAATATACACCATATCCATGTCTGATAAAAAGGTGTATGATATCATGTCTAATACGATTGCCAATCGTGTTTATCTTCCAATTGCAGAAATCATCTAGGACATTAGTTATATCTTGTTCTACATTGATAAGGTTGTTTCTACTCCACACTTCAAGAGTGGTTAAAACTACATCAGTATCTATTTGAAGATAATAACCATTTAGTCCATTGATCATTTGCAATATATCTTGAATACATGTTGTGGTATTGTTCTTTCTATGAACATATCATTTATGGTCTATTACTACAAAATATTCAATAAACCTGTGGTGGGTCCACCAATTCTCATATGGGAGCTGCAAAAGTATGGAATCATTGTGTTCTTGAAGCTTTATTTGTCGTGCTATTTCCTCTTCGGTTAACCCACATCTCATGGGAATTGATTCTGACTCCTCACTGTCCATTTTGTAAGCCAGATGTTCAAATGTTGATGTTGACCTCTTGGGCATGATTTCATAAATTGTGCCATTTATGTCTAGTATGCCTTGCAAACTCCCAAAACAGGTGTTAACAATGACCAAGGATTCTGGGTCTTCATCCACATAGCCATGGTAGTAGCAGTCATTCTGCACAAAAGGCTGTTCTTCAATTGGATCTCCTTGGTCAGTATAAGTGAGCAATAAGAAGTTTCTGGATATCAAGTTTTTCTTTGGTTTCATAGTGATTATGTGCCTCTGTCCCTCAATATGCAGGCTATAAGAGAGCCAACCTTGGGAAATATTATTTCTGCCAGTTACAGTGACCCTCAAGGGTATCACTACTTCTGGAAGGCTACTGTACTTAGCATGTCCAGTTGGTGACCATGCAGATAGGAAGAACATCTTCCACAGGAAGAATGTAAGGTACATGTTCCTTTCATGGACCAGGGCCTTATCCACAGTCACTATATCCTAATAGAGACAAAGGAGGAGCTTGACAAATCCTTGCTCTCCCAGTCCTCACTTTGTTTGTTGTAGGCAGCACTGGCCTTTAATAGTGTGTCTTCTGACAGAGTTGAGTCATAAGAGCAGTAGGACTAAAAGGAACAAGTAAATAAGGGCAAACATAGCAATTGATAAATCATGGTCAAGTTAACTTATATGACATAACTACAGAGAATGGGATAAAATCAATTAGTCTTTGTTCCAAGATGTTTCAACAGTGAGTTTCTATTTTTCCTTAAATGTTGTAGTATACACCTCTGTGTGTGTGTGTGTGTGTATTTATTTCTAAAACACTCCTAGCTATTAAGAGCACAATGAAAAATTTTAATAAATTGCCCTTATTTACACATTGTCTCAGAATGTTCTAATTTCCCCCTTTCCTCAACAGTAACTCTAGATTTCTTTAGCTGATATTAAGAATGTCATTGCTTTCATATAAGTAGGCATTTCAATTGTAACCCTTCTCAGTCACTGTGCTGCTTCCTGAGGACATTTGACTGTTTCTTTCTGTCTTAGTCTTATCATTGTTGTGGTAGTCAGGAACTTCTCTCAGGTAGAAAACTTTTCTCATTTTCCTTTTTTCATATGTTTGTTTTAATATTGCTGTATGTGAGTGTGTAGTACAGTGTTAACATGAACCTCATGTGCATATTGATATATGTGAAAAGGTCACAGTTCATCCTGGCTGGTGAGTCTTCAGAAGCTATACATCTCTTTTGTGCAATTACTACTAAAATTTAGTATTTCATTTATTCATTGTATTTTTGTTCTTATATAAGAATGTGTATATGTATATAAGCATGTGCATATCTGTTTCTTAGTGTATATGTGTTTGTGTGGGTGGGTCTCTCTGTGTTTAGAGAAACCTGTCGTAACTTTTGGATCTCATTCCTAGGCCATCATCCACCTTGGTTCTTAGCACAGAGGTGGTCACTGATATGGTGCTCTCTAAAGAAGGATGAATGGCTAACCGGCAAGCCTTAGACATCTGCGTGTGTCTGCCTTCTTGTGTACTGGAGTTGCAAGCACAGACAAGTAACAAAGCGTTTACATAGCTTTTGCGAATTCCTTCTCATGTCTGTGTGCTTTTGCAACATTCATTTTACTGAATGAGCTCCCCTCTCCCCCTCTCTTGTTTGGTATCTTAGTTATTACTATTTTGAAAAAAATAATTAAGAAACAAGATACACTAACACATACAGTACTAAAAGTCTAAAAAAAAACATAGTAAAAAGACATTTAGTGACATTATAATGAAACACTGACTAAAACTCTGACATGCTGATGACTATCCAAAAATACTTTGGTTTAGATTTGATAATTATTATAGAAAGTATATTTCTAGTGTAAAGGAAAGAATTATTCATCAACAGCACAGCATTGTTGGCATTGTAGCAAGAAATGTATGTCAAAATTAATGACTCAAACTATAGCAATAGATTAAAAACAATACTTAAATTATTGAACAAGCTCATTAATTCATTACTGTACACAATGATGTTAACATCCACAAGTCTACATAAAAGATACAATTTTTTAAATTCATTATTTGGTACAACTATTTCAACCTAGATTTGACTATTTCAATCTAGATTTGATTGTGGCTCTCAGAAATCAGATTTTACCTTACCCTTTCCCCCACAACTTCATCAAATTTACTTATAGCCAGCCATTTACCATCCAAGCTCTCTAATAATTTAGGATGCAGTGAATCAAACTGAAAACATTGAAGTCACCATAACAACATAGGAGTGGAAATATCTACGGAAAATAAAATGCCATCCCCAAACATGATCCAATTGCAAAATATTGAGGTCTGTATGTGTTCACCTACTAATTATTTGTGCTTCTATTTGTTACTGACTATTCTAAAGGCTTACCATCAGATGAGGTGATGTCCATATTCTTTTCTTCTTACTGTCTTGCTCACAAAACATTACTACATCGTATCAGGAACAAGGGTGGTTGTTTGAGACTGCACAAGAGAATATAAATCCTTCACTAGTCTCTCATGGAGTAAGTTCTAGATTCATGTGCCTAGCAACAGGAGCCTCTCCTTTCTCAGAACCTGGCAACTAATGAGGTTCCTTTACCTCACCAACCAAAGTTATTTGGTTTCCTCTTTCATGTCAGTGAGTCTAACTTCTTTCTCCTCATAATCTATATTCCAGTGTCTCCATTGTGAGTAAATATCATTTCCAAACGTACATTTTTTCTCATATACTCTATAATGATGAGAACTCTCTGTTTTGTTCATTTTATTATCACCGTTCCATTTTATTTAGTATTGACCCTAATAAGGAATACTTAAAGCACTTCAAATTGTGAAAAATAATTCCACTTCCTTTAAAGTATATTCTTAAAGGAATCAACTGTCTGCCAATAGTTTTATCATTCTCAGATCAGTGAATACCCCAGACATTGAACTGTTTTTCAAGCTCATGTATGGGATGAGTTTGGAAGAGGAGGTGTGAGTACCAGCATAGGAATGAATTTCTTTAGCAGTAGGATAGCTGAAAAATGAGAAAACATGAATCTGGAACTAGTGTATTTTATAGGTTGATTAGAAAATTGTGGGGATTTGCTTGTATGCTGCTTAATATTGCTAAAGTCTGGATGCTTCATTGAACCTGCCATGTTTTGGTTTTTTTTGGGGGGGAAATTTGAATTTTATATTTTAATACATTCCTTCCCATCCAGGAATTCATACCAGATCCATCTCACCATTCCAACTCATCCAACTTTATGTTTACTCTCTGTCTTAAAACAAAGCAAAACAACAAGAAATACAACAACAACAACAACATCAGCAAGAAGACCCTGAAAAACCTGGATTCCATTTAGTGCTGGCCAACTATGAGTGATCATTGTGTCTGCCCACAAATGATTGTGTGAGGTTAGAATACATGGTTTCACACTATTGAAGAAAGCCAATTTTTCCTTTAAGTATAATTTTATCACTTGCGTATAGCTTTCTAGTGTGGAGTGGGACTTTTAAGACATATTTGAAGGGTGTTTTTCATGCTCTAGTTTGATCATGTTTATCTATTGGTGAAACTTGTGTCCACTTTCCTTCTTGTTGTGATGCTGTATAGGTTGAATTCGAACAGGTAATTTTTTCAATATTTCTGTGTTTGTGTGAGTTAATATCTGTGTCTGTCTTGTTGTGTCTTGAAAATGCTGTTTCCTTAACCACTCATCTTCTCTGGCTCATAGAATCTTTACATTTCATTTCCCACAAGAATCTCTGAGTGTTGAGAAGAGAGTTTTGATAAGGACATTATATTTTTGCTGAACATCCCAAGGTCTCTCACTTTCTGTGCATTGTTCAGTGTGGCCTCTGTGTCATTCACAATCCATTCTTTAAAGAAACTTCTCGATGAGAGCTGAGCAACAGTCTGTTCTATGGTATAGCAATATGTCATTAGAAGTCATTTTATTGTAATATTCATTTAATGGTAAAATAGGTATCCTCCTAGCCCATATGACTTAGTCTGAACATAATAGAAATATAGGTTCCACATCACGAGGTTTAACTAAAATCCAATCAGAATGGGATTGGTGAGCCTCTGACTATTCTTACTACAATTTTCACTATTGAATCCATGAGCATCTTATAGGCAATCCATTACTACTGCTTGGCATAACTATGTTACATCTGGGTATGATTAGTATCATCTTTATCCTGGAAGCATATATGGCATTTTAAAGATGCACATGAAAACTTGCCTAAAGGTTGAATTCTCCAGTTTACTATCATCTAGATTTCTCTATGTTATTTGCTATAAGTATGGTATCAACATCAATAGTGTCTTTTTTTTAAAATACACGGTACTCAAAGTAAAAAAAAAAGAAAGAAAAAAGAAAACACAAAAGGTTTTCACAAAATGCTTTATTCCTCTAATTGCTAATTCTCATAAGTAACTTTGGCAACAATAAAATAACTTTTATTTGGTAAAACAAGCAACCAACTCCACAGAGTAACAAAATAGTAATCTTGGCAAATATTTAATACATATGTAAACAAAACAAAGTGACATTGCTTTAAAAATAGATAGAGTGGTCGATATAAAACAGAAAGCTTCCAGAAACTCGGCTCACTCTACTTCTTTGTATTAGAGGCGCAAAAATGGACGTAAGCTAGCTCACTTCTAAGACAGCCAAAGCTCTTACTAAGGGCTTCTTCCTCAAGTTCTGGGACTAGGAAACTTAGCTAGATTGCCAAGGGCAGAAAGCTGCAGGGAGAAGTAAGTTGCCTTCCAAGAGAAGAGGTAAATGGGCTTCAGGAGCAGGAGACATTTCTAGTCACTCTAAAAATCTTGATAAGCTTAAATAACCACAAGTGAGGAAGCAGCCATGCAGGCTTAGGGAAACCACTGTGAGAGCAACCCATGCAGCCTCTGCATCAGGCAGAAACAGGAATTGACTGAGGAATGGCAAAGTCAGTGGGTGACAACTGTGCAGTAGCAGGAGGTTTGGTTTGGTCAGTGGCAGGGTACAGAAAAAACAAGTAGGCAGGAGCCAGAGCCCTGGACCTCCCTTAGCAGTAAACAACCGTCTGTACTCCTTAGGAGCTGCAACAGAAAACTACAGCGACCAGGCTGGAGACACTCAACACAGGTCTAAGAGGGTTCTCACTTTTACCATAAGCCCGCAGACTCATTTCATAAACAGATTTTCCACCAGAAAAAGTGGGGCAAATACACTTTCTACACCTGAAGGAAAGGTACAGGGTAAAGAGTGTGATGTGGCAAAAACAAAACAAAACAAAACAAAACAAAACAAAACAAAACATAAAAAATCACTGAAAAGGCCTATCAAAATAGCCAAGAGGCAGATCACAGTGAATCAATGATCAAGCACAGGGCAAACCATAGATATTCACAACCTCTTGTCTCCCTCAGTCTTAAGAGCCAGGGTGAGGCCTAGGGATAACCTCTTCCCATTTTTTTCATGGA